CACACACACACACACACACACACACACACACACACACATACACACACACACACACACACACACACACACATACACACACACAGGTCTATGAATTGTGATGGCATTATACAGTAGTCGGACATGCTCTAACGTCCACCTTATAAAACAATCGCCTATACAAACGGCCACTTCCTATTTCATCCCTTGCGTATGTTTACATTATAATGACTTTGTGTAAGACCCCCACCAACATAAGACGGCCACTGTTTTCCTCGACAGTGGCGGGCCGGTTTTAGGCAGTTTCAACACGGTTGTGTTACGGCGTTTTCGACTTAGTAGGTAGACGTGATAAATAAGTAGGAAAATGGTATACAAAGAGCAGGGTGTTGATTCGGCAACTCCACAGCTTCGTGTTGGTGAAATCTGTGAAGGGGACACGGGTCGATGAATAGCCATATCAGTAGATTATGTGAATCACGAAAGAATAAGGCGCTCTTCGGTTTTTTGGTATAATAATATGGAGGGGGGGGGTTTTCATCTCGCTTTTGATGGAAAAATACCCATTTATCTTGAATAGAAGTCGAGACATTTGCCATTGAAGGAGGTGGGGGTCGCCTGGTTTCAGAGGTAAATTTGTTGAGTGAATTGCTGCCAAGTAATCTATCAAACTCTCCCACACTCTAACTCATATACGAGTACTTTCACTTTCTATACTTAGAGTATGCCAGACCAACGGAGCAAAAAAAAAACAACAACCCAAAACATAATTAACATTTATATTATTTAGTATGTTAGAATTCTACAAACATAAAATTTTCGCATGGGTGAGTCAATAGAGCCTACCCTAGTTTTCGGATTTTTGTCATGAAGAAAGAAGCGCGATCTAACGAGTCCTCGAAATGTGAACCGCGGTATGGCGAAGGAATGCCGTACACTATGTAATGTAGATGTGTTAAAAGAAGATATAACGTTATGGTACACAGCAGGGTGCTGATGAGGTAATGTCAAAAACCTTGGGTGTTGGTGAATGTATGTGAAGGGATCACTGAAAGATTAACTATTGTCATAGCATTAAGTGTGAAGGGGTTTTGAACTTAACGTGGGCAGTATGAACTCCAATTTGGCAGGCAAATGAGCCTGGGTTGCTCTTAACAGGCAGGGACAAAACTACCTGACCCCCTCCCCCCACCCCCTTCAACCCACACA